TGCATGCGTGGGTGCAGGTGGTGGGGATCTGCAGGGACGCACAGGGATGTGGACTGGCTGCTTCCGTCCTAGACGTAGGTCACCCACCCTGAGCTGTGGCCCATGGACCTCGGGCTCTCGGGCTGTGTCCACACTGCACACACTCTGCCGTGGGTCCTCCCTATCTACTCAGCCTCCTGAGGGTGTCCCTGGCTGCGGTGCCCTGCCACTGTGTCCATGCTGCCCAACAGCAGGGCCCCTTCCCTCATGGCTCCAGGATGGACCCCTGCTCTGGCCCAGGTGGAGCCTCTCTCTGGGAGACCAGAGCTGGGCTGGGCTGTCCCCCGGACAAGGGCATGCGGACCCCATGCTGGTGGGACGGCCATGTCCACAGGGAGGGGGCAAGGCCTGGCTGCTGAGAAAGACGGAAGGGACCCCACCAGGAGAGGGAGGATAGACAGCAGGGCTTCAGGGCCCCCGACCCCTGTCCAGGGCAGCTCGGCTTCGTGCTGACTGCCGTGTTCCCAAGGATCCAGGACCTGCAGGAGCTGGCTTGGCACCTCCTGTCACCTGCAACTTCAGGTTGGTCAGAGCCTTGCTCCAGACGCCCCCACGGGCAGGGCCCGCACTGCCCCAGAGAGTCCTGTCCACTGTGAGCTGTGGAGGCCAGGTGCGCCCTCCAGCAGGTGATGAGAGCCAGGGGCCCACATGATTGGCACCTGTCACTGCGGAATCGTCAGTCTTTTCTGTCTTCCCAGAGACTTCTTCTAGGCCATACCCACTGCAAACGGCACCCCCACGTCTCTCTCTCTGACTCGGATGATGAGCGGTCGTTGATGCCCACTTGAGGCCTGGTGACCCTCTGCCACCCTTGGAAGGGTGCAGCAGGGACAGATGAGCACTGGAACTCCTGGCCTTGGCTCTCGACATCCAGTTCAAGAGCCTCCAGTAAAAATAACTTGCCTAGCGAGGCCCTGGGTTCGCGCCTCAGCTCCGCATAGGAACAAGTCAGTAAAATAAAGATGTTAAAAAAAAAATAAATGACTGGTGGATAAGAACTTGGTGTGGGGCCCAGAGCCGTGGACCTCACGGGGACCTCACGGGGACCTCACGGGGAGCAGCAGCGAGGCCCGGTCCTCACACTGAACGCCAGCGCCCAGGACGGCTGTCCCCGCCACCGCTCTGCATATGTGCCTGGTCCTGCCACCAGCCTGCAGGGCTCTGAGGGCGAGTGGCTGGGGCTGGGCCCTGGTGGGAGGTCCCTCCCAGGACCACATGTGACCTGCTCCACATTGATGTCGTTGTGACCAAGGAGCGTCCCTTTGTCTCAGCCTCTCTGTGACCCACTGCTTGCCTGGGTGGCGAACGGGATCCTGCTGGGATTTCCAAGGACATCTGTGGCCCGTTCCTGCCTGGAGGACACTCTGATGCACCGTGTCCCTTCTCACCAGGGACGTCCCGGGATGAGAGCATTTGCCCAGGATGTGCCATTTAATTCCGGAAAGTCCACTCTGAGATTGCAAAATGATGGGAAAGTTCATCAAGCGAAACCTCCCTCCTCTTACTCCGCTGGCCCATTTAAAAATGATATCGACTAGGACTCGCCCCGAGTCGACCGCGTCCCAGTTCTTCTCTGTTTGTTACCCGTTGAATGCTTTAAGGGAGAGAAGAGAAATGCCCCTGCTACCACCAGCATTCTGCAGATGGGGTGCTGAACAGAGAGAGGGTAAGTGGTCTGCTCAAAGCCAACAGCTTGGGAGTGGAGTTTGCCGGGATGTGAACCAAGCCTGACTGGTCCCTGACCATGGCACCAACAAGCAAAGAAAGGACTCAGTCAGTCAGCCCCTGGGGTGGTCAGCCTGGGAAACAACTGTAGCTCAGAGAGGTCAGGTGATTTCAGCAAACACACACAGCAGGGGCAACGGAAGTCAGGATTCAAGCTTGCTTGTCTAGATGCAAAGATGGCGCCTTGTTCTGCTGGGTGACCTCGCCAAGCTCCCTCCCTCGCCGAGCTCCCTAAGGAGGACAGGTGGTTTTATTGAGTGTTGTAAGTTGTGAAACAGGTCGGCAGATCCTCTGATTTCCATGGGCACAGAAATATGGTCTGTGCTCCCTCCCCTGATCCTGGGCGAGCTCTGTGTCCGGGCAGTGGAGTAGGACAGACCCAGACCCTCGTTCACAGGAGACCAGGTACCTCCTGCCGGGGAGCCAGTCACTTCACCACAGTCACCCCACCGGACCCTGCCAGGCAGGAAAGGCCGCCTGGGGGCCCTGCAGCCACCGTCCCCCATCAAATGCCAGCCCTGTCGGGGAACCAGCCTGGGCATCCACACAGGGGAGCCTTCAGGTGTCCACAGCCCTGGCCGTTGCCTGACTGGCCCACGCAAGGGGCCCCTACGTAGAGCACCTGTTGCACATTCCTGACCTACTCAATCCCAGGCAAAAAAGAATAGTTGTTTAAAGTCCTACATTTTGGGACAATTTGTTACACAACAATACTAACTATAACGTCACATCCGAGAAATTCATTTCTACTTTATACTAACACAGTGAAATAGCCCAGAAAATCCAATGTGTCCCCTGTACTGCAGCAGACCCACACCCCCACCCCCAAGGTCACAGTCTCAGGCTGCTGTAAATAAAGCACCCACACCACAGGAACGTGCTTCCCACAGTCGGAGGCTGGAAGTCCAGGTCTAGGCACCGGCAGAGCCAGTGTCTGCTGAGGCTCTCTGTGCCGCCCATGGTGGGAGGGTCCCGAAGCTCACTGGTTCTCTTCATAGGGACACCGATGCTGTTTCAGAGCCACAGACCCCGTCACCTCCTGCACCACCACCTACTGTCCTCCCATTGGCAGTGGGTCTCAACACGGGACATCCGGCCAGACCCTGGGGCCTGGCGCCCGACTGCCTGAGCTGGGGTCTCAGCCGGACCAGTGAAGAGCCACACTCCTGCACTTCCCAGGCACCTGGCGCCCGGCAGGCAGTGCTCAGTGGTGGGCATGGCTAGGCCCTGGGGGCTCAGCAGGGAGGACAAGAAGACCTCAGTCAGAAAGGAGGCAGGGAGGTCTGGAAGATTCTGCAGCTGGGGCAGCTCGGCCAGGGGGTGACAGGCTTGGAGAACAGCGTTCCCTGCGGGCAACTCTGCCCTCGGTGTCTCTGGTGTCCCCAGGTCATCCTGGGCCAGCAAGGAGTCAGCAAGTTTTCCCTCAAAAGCGTCTGTCAGGAGGTGGAGGTGGCAGAGCAGAGTAGTGGACACTTCATTGTTAACCCCCGCCCCCCACCCAAATGTCTCCCATGAAAAATCTGATCCTTTGTAACTTCCCTGCCCCGTGTTGTGGGAGCCTGGAGCAATGGTGCAGTTTATTTCACCCCCTGTACACCGGGCTTACAGGCCACAGGCACTGGCAGCTGAGTGGGCAAACGCAGGGGTTCAAATCCTAGTGTCTCCACTTTGGAGCTCTGTGACTTTGGGAAAGTGATTTGCATTCTCTGTGCCCAGTTTCTTTATTGGAAAAATGGGAGCTGGGCACAGTGGCACACACTTGTAATCCCACCTACTCAGGAGGCTGAGGCAGGAGGATCACAAGTTCAAAGCCAGCCTGGGCAACTTAGTGAGACCCTGTCTCAAAGGAAGGGGACCCCAAAATGTGGGGCTGCTAATAATGGCACATGTATCGGGGGCTGGGTCTTGGGAGAGACAAGGGGTGCCTGCTGACATATTCTCCTCCCCCTTGGGTTTGCAAACAAGGGCTGCAGCTCTGGGGAGGACTGCTCACTGCTGCCCACTCTGGCTCCGGGGACGAGCCCAACAGATGCCTCCCAGTGTCAGATGAGTGTGTTGATCTGAGAGGAGGAAGAAAAGCAAAGGAAATGAGAAACGAAAAAGGGAATGGAAAGAGAGACCACAGAGGACCAGGTCTGCAGACAAGCTGCATCCCGTCTCCAGCAAGGGCTCCTGTCTTGGGTCTGTGTCAGGAGCTTGGTCCTCTGACGTCCTTCCCCACGGCCCCCTCTTGTTCCCCCTCATGCTCTGAGACCCCAGCAGGGGCCTTCTGGGCTGCTCATGGCTGCATAGCACAGGGCCAGCACAGGCCGCGGTGGGTACTGAGGAAGGGTGAGCTGGCTCCGGGGTCTTCATGCAACTTCAGCAAGGTGGAAGGCCGCCCGGGGCCTGGGCCTGCGCCAGCACCGCAGTTTACACATCAGGTCCACTTTTACCTGACCAAGAGGGGAGCAGGCAGGTCCTCAGCTCTTCTCGCCTCAGTTTCTTCACCTGCCCGCAAAGGACCCGGAGTTACGTGTTCCCAAGGCGCCTCCGACTCTCAGTTGACCTGGGGCTACCCCGGCACAGGTGGGTGTCCTAGGGTTCCACCTGTTCCCGCTCCCTTCCCAGCCGCAGGCCCTCTCTCCAGTCTGCTACTTGACCTGTGGAAGGGGGCGTGTCCAGCTCACTGGACTCCTGTGGGCAGGTGTTAGGGGAGAGTGAAGCGGCAGCCAGGGCCCTCCATCGTGTCCCCTCCACCACCTCCCCCAGTGTCCACTGGAGCCGCGGATTTCTACGACGTGCAGAAGGTGGGCATGAACTCAGCGCCGGTGTGCTCCGGACTTGTGCGCAGAGCTCACGCCCCTGCGGATTTCCTTTGCGACAGTGCTGGGAGGTCTCCTCCCTAACCCCATTCTCCACTTGAGCTGCACAGAGCTGGGATTTATTAAACTGCAACCCCCTGGCGGAAAGTGCTTGGCACTGCGCCGGGCGCGTAGTAAGCGCTCAATGAAAACGACTTTTATGGTCCCGGTGCGGAAACTGCGCGCGTTCTCCTCTTACGCCGGCTCTGCCCCCGCGCCGCCTTCCGCCCGCGGAGCCCGCTGGGCGGGGGAGGGGGAAGGACGGGGGGGGGGCCCGGGGGGCGGGGCCGGACTGAGCAGCCCAATCGGCGTCGCCAGTCACCGGGTGGGCGTGGCCGCTGGGCTCGCCGACAGCCTTCAAAAGGCGGCGCGCTGGCAGCTGCACCCGCTCGCCGCTCGGCCAGTGCGGAGTTCCCGACCCGCTGCCTGCCCACTGAGTTCTCTGCGCCCGCGCTGCCCGCTGGACGAGGAGACGCCAGTGCGGTGCTGATTGGAGGCTTGCGGAGGTAAGTGTCACTTAGATCCTCTCCTTTTGCAAGCTGCGGTCTGCTCTCCCTGCTGTTGGGGCAGCTCTGTCTGCATCTCAGAGCCTTGTTTTGAGGCATGCCCTTTTACAGACGAAGGAACAGGCCAACGACTAAGCCACTTGCCCAGGGCTCACAGCTAGGAAGCTGAGGGGCCAGGACTCGGTCTGTCTGGTCTCAGATCCCTGCTCCCGGGAGGCTGGATGCTCTTCTGCCTTCCTGGTGCAGTTCGCTACCATTTGTGGCCTCTGGTGTTGGGGATGGGTGTCATTGACGTGGATGTGGCAAGCATTGGAAAGTGTTCCACCCACGTGTGGAGGGTGGGTGATTGGCAGGTGCCTTCTACCTGACAGTTTTCAGGGCCACGCCTCTTTGTAGTCTCATTTGCAGCAAACCTGCAAAGTGGCCTTCTTCCCATATTTCAGATGAAGACACTGAAGGTCAGAGAGGTGAAGTGAGTTGTCCAGGCAGAGCCAGAGCTGGAAGCCAGCACTCTCTGCTCCACAGCTTCGGGCGGGTGTGTCCAGGTGTGAGGCAATCTCAGGGAACACATTTCTGGATCTCTAGCTGGAGTAGGCATCTGCGTAACTCCTTGCGTGGGGAGAATTGGTCGGGTGGCTGTAGGGTCCTGGGAGTCGGCTGCCACACAGGGAGAGCCTGGACCAGCCCCTTGTGTGGTACAGACCCAGACCCTTCCTTGCCAAGGGCTGGCTGGTGAAGGAGCGCGGAAGGGCTTGGCCAGGGGTACTCACTGCAGTCCAGCTGGACTGGGCATCTTTCAACCAAAAGCTGAGCTGCTGGTCTGACTGAGAAAGCCTTGGGACTGTGGGCATGCCCAGCCCGCTCAGCACCTGGAGTGGACTGGGAATTTCCACTCTGAGACTTTGGCCTCCTTGCTCTGGTGGGACGGGGTGGGCCTGTCTTCCGTCTAGGATCTGGAGTCTGACATCCTACAGAGCAAGACCAGGGACGTGCCCCCAGCCCAGATCACCTGAGAGGGATGTCCCAGGGGTCTTTATGTTGTGTGAACCGGTTCTGCTTCTGCCTGGCCTAGCTGTTTGCACGTGGGGAAGGGGCAGGAGGTGTGGGCTGTGTTGCTGAGGAGCCGGGCGAGGCCCCATCCACACACTCTGCCCACATGAGCAACCCTGCCCACACACCTGGGCAGTGGGCGTCTTGGTCCCCACCTCCCAACTGAGGAATCAAAGAGTCAGCGAAGTGAAGTGTTTGCCCAGGAGGCCCAGCTGGGTGTGATGGATCTGGCTTGAGACCCTGCACACCGGACCTGGGTTCTACCTCCTTTCCTTTGTGGGTCTAGGGATGGAACCAGGGCCTTGCACATGCCAGGCAAGTGCTCTGCCGCTGAGCTGCCCCCCAGTCCTGGGTCCCGCCTCTTTAAGACCCTTCTCTGCCTCACTGCTAACTCCGCCTCTGAGCCTGACCTTCCCACAGGTGTTTTGTCTGAAAGGGGCGCCAGGTAAAGAGCTGGATGGGGTGCCCGGGGAGGAGACAGGAAGGGAGAGACTCTGATTTTCAGAGTCGCCTCAGGGGTAAGAGTAGGGGTCGTGACAGCCACGTTTATAATCAGTGCTGGCAGCTGGCACTGTCCCGGCTCTTACGTGGACCAGACGGCCAGGTTTCCAGGAATGATCTCGCCGGCTGCCCTGTGAGGGGGGAGCACACTGAGGCTCAGGATGAATCGGGCGGGGCGGGGGAGAGCGGCCCTCCCGGCTGGGCCCTGCCCAGGTGCTGGAGGAAGGGGCCACTTGGCTGCCGTAGCAGAGCCTGCCAGGAGGCCAGGCTTCTGGTGCCAGATGGGTCCTCTGCGTTGCCGGGGCTCTGGGTCCCTGGCGCGGGTTCGGGCGGGGCAGGAAGGGCTCCGCTGACACGGGGCTTGGGCTCAGCTCTGCCAGCAGGCGCGGTTCTGCCCGCCGAGAGCCCTGCCCGGGACCTGGACCAATACTGTCTCCCAGAGTCCTGCCACGGGGCTGGAGACGAGAATTGGCACCCCAGCCAGGTCTGGAGCTGGGCAAGAAGAGCTTAAGGCCCCGGAGAGCCCCTGCACGTCACCCCTTGCCATCCCAGAGGGGATATCCGGCCCTGTGTGGGTTGCACCTGGAATGTTTTAGAGGTGGGACCCCAGTGCCGACCTCCTTGGCCTGAGGGGGCTGGAACGTCCCTCTTCTCTGTCACCAGTGTAATCTGCTGTGTGGGGAGGTGCCGCCGTGTCTGCTGCTCCCAGCTCAGGAGGCTTTTTTTTGCAAACTCACTGGTTTTTGATCAGTCGCAGATGTGCAGACCCAGCATCAGTCAGGGGCTGAGGGCTTGTCAAGAAGGGAACACACAAGGCAGGCGTGACTTTATGTCACTCCACTGAACTCAGGAGATGCTCGGACTTCCACGGGCCGCAGACCCGGAGCACCTTCCAAGTCCCAGGGAGCATGCTCTCCCCCAGAGCAGGCAGGGTCAGGCACACCGGGGGCTTTGGCAGTACCAGCCGTATATTTCTCTTTTTTCTTGAAAAATATTTTATTGCCGTGAAATACACAAAAGCAGACAGGCATGGTGCTTCACACCTGTAATCCCAGCTACTCTGGAGGCTGAGGCACGAGGATCCCAAGTTCGAGGTCAGCCTCAGCAACTTAGTGAGACCCTGTCTCAAAATAAAATTTTGAAAAAGAGCTGGGGGGACTGGGGCTGTGGCTCAGTGGTAGAGCGCTCGCCTAGCGTGCATGAGGCACTGGTTTCCATCCTCAGCAGCACATAAAGAAATAAATAAACAAAATAAAGGTATAAAGTAAATTTTTAAAAAAGAGCTGGGGATGTGGCTCAGAGGTAGAGCACCCCTAGGTTCAACCCCCAGCACCACCACCAACAAACCCACATGAACACGCAACTTCCCCTTTTAACCCCTTGAGCTGTGCCATCGGTGGCTTTCACCGATGTGCAGTGCTGTGTGACCCTACTGCTGTCTAATTCCAGGGCATTTTCGTCATCCCATCAGGGACCCTGTGCTGTGAGCAGCCCTCCCCAGCCCCTCCCCAGCCCCTCCCCCAGCCCAGGCAGCCCCTGCCTGCCTCTGTCTCGGTGGCTGGTTCTGGACACTTCCCATAGGTGGGACCACGTGCTGGGGTGTGGCCGGCTGTGTGTGGACAGCTGTTCCCTCGGCACAGTGTTCTCCAGGTCCATCCCCCTTACAGTTTATATATCACAACATCATTCCTTTTTTGTGGCTGAAAATGTTCCACCGAATGGCTGGTGCACATCTGTGTGTCCCCACCTCCACTGATGGCAACCCAGGCTTTCCCCAGCTTGATGACACGGGCAGTTCCACCGTGGGCACATGTCTTCACTGCTCCTGCGCTAGACCTCGGAGTGGACTTGCTGGGCCACATGGGACTTGCTGACCTCACTGAGGAACCCTGGTCCTTTTCTGACTTCCTCCTTGAGGAAGCCCCCACCTGCTGGTCCCGTTCTGGTTCCTGGCCACCCGTGTGGGGAAAGCCTGGTGCTGGTGTGTGGGCAGGGCGGCTGTCCCACCTGGGTCCCGGCAGCCCCTGGCAGGGTCCTATCTGAGGTGTTGCTGGGGAGCGCAGCCTCGGTGCCAGGCTGGCAAGTGCCAGCGCTCCTCGGCTGCCGCCCCCCCGCCCTTTCAAGGCTGTGGGGACAGCGTGGTCCAGCCAGAGGGAGATTTATCTTTGATTATCTCAAGTGCGGCATCAGCTTAGCCAAAACCCACAGGATCAGGAGAAGAGAGCCCTGATGAAGGATTTTGCAACTTCTGGCCCTTGTTTTTAAAATACGATAAATTATGAAATCCCACGTTTCCAGTCTGGGCTCTGGCCTGTCTCCCATCTTGCGTGCAGAGTGGCCGTGTTCCAGAAGGAAACAGAATCGCGCTCCCATTTTGCACATAGTCGAGGGGCCTGGAGCTGACCCTCCCCCAGTCCTTTTAGACAGGAAGGAGCCCGTGGGTTCTCTAGATTGGGAGCTGGTGGCCAGCTGACTTTGTGACTGACCTCTAAGAGCTCAGGGACTCCTAGAAGGAAGAGGTGGCGTTCTGCAGGCAGGGAGACACCAGTGGGCGGAGGGGAGCTGGCAGGGTGCACCAGGTGGGGGGCCTCGTGGCCCAGGCCTGAGGTGGCACCACCCAGGGGGCAGCTCACACAGGAGAGTGACATGGGGGCGCTGCATTCGAGGACAGTTTGCTCTGGAATGAGCTAGTTCCACCAAGTCTGTGGGGGGGGGGCTCCATCCCCAGGGAGGGGCCCGCAAGGTGACTGAGCATGTGCAGACCCGCAGCAAACCCCCGCACCCAGGGGCTGTTCTCTCTGTTCCGTGGACCCCTCCAGCTCACCGGGAGGCTTGCCTGGGGTGGGGCCATCTGTGCCTACGCCCTCCCAACCCTGACCCCCCTTTACAACCCAGAGCCTGGGCCCTCCTGGCGCCCAGCAGGGAGCAGGGCCTTGTCCTGGTTTTCTTGGGTTTGGCTCACTCCTTCCTCCCCTCAAGGCCGCAGGACGAGGTTCTCCACGAGTGGTGGGGGAGAAACTGACCTTTTTGAAGCAAATATTTTGGAACCTCAAAAGCAAACTGACTTAAAAAAAATGCAAAACATTTGCTGGTACAGGTAGATGTTTGGGAGGGGAGAGAAGCTTGGGGTGGGGGCATGCAGGGTTGGGATCTGGGGACCTGGGATCAAGGTGGAGGAGGTCAGGGAGGAGACAGGCCGTGGCGGTCTGAGCAGTGCTTCTCCAAGTGGGGTTCCTGGACCCGCAGCAACTGCACTCGAGAGAAATGCAAGTCGTGGGCCACCCAGGCCCTCTGAGCCAGGACCTGCGGGGCGGCTGGTGCTTCACGAGGCCCCCAGCACTCGGACAGGCTCAGGTGTGGGGCCCACGGTCCTGGAAAGCTGGCAAAGGAGAACCCTGGGCCCTGGCACAGAGGAGGGGTGTGGAGGGACTGGCTGGTCAGGGCAGGGG